GCCCGAGTTGTCCACACTGGTAGCACGCTCCCGAGCTCCTTCCAGCAGCTGCCGCATTCACCAACGCAGGCTTCTCCTCCACAAAGCCCCTTGTAACTTCTCCCGTCGCTTCTGATGCTCTCTTGCTCGCTTCCAACGCCTGAAGCATGGCAATAAGCTTCGTCATATTCTCCGGTGGGTGGCAGATCAACGCCGGCAACGCTTCACCCGCCCAATCTTCCGGTAGACCGTTGACGATGTGCCCGATCATCGCCCGCTCGGTTTCCGGCTCGCCCATCGCAGTTAAGTCGTCGTTGTAGCTCCTCGCCATGTTGACATAGTCAATAATCTTCTGGTTCGGCTCCATGGTCATTAACAGCAGCTTCTTCCTTGCGTCGGCGATGTTTGCGTCCATATGCCCGAGGTATGTAGACTCCATGTAAGCCCATGCCGCCTGTGCAGAGTTCTCGCGCTCTGCAAATTCGTCCAAACCCACTGCAATCCTGTCAGCAACGGAATGACATAACTGAAAAAACGCATGCTTAGTCCTCTTCTTGTATTCCGCCTTTTCTTCATCCGATCTCGCCTTACGCGCGGCTGCGTCACCTTCTCCATCCGGTCGGTAGTACTCCCAAAAACCGACTTCCTTCGCCCTCCTTATGAACTTCAATCTCCACGTGCTGTAGTGTTGGCCGTGGAATCGTTGGGCTTCACTGAGCCCCATGGTGGGCTTTGTCACCACCCCTCCTTGCGCTAGCATTTCCAGAAGTGCCTTCACTTGGGGATCTCCAATACTCACAGAGGAGCCCGAACTAGCTTCCGATTGTCCGCCGACCATCTCGAAAGCTTCTCTCTGCACTTAAGAATGCTTAAACGCCACTTAAACCAGCTCTGATACCAGTTCTCAGGATGGTAAACACCTTAGTCGGCAATAGTCTACTTGCTATCGCCTATCGTGTTCTCCACGATCTCACGAATCCAATGATATGCGCAGCTCTGCTTGAAGTTGTCAATACACACTTCAGCAATTTTCAGAATCTCCAACTGATCAATGTTGTATTTCCAGAATGAGTACAAATAGGTTTATAGTCAAGCAAGACACAAAATGCGATTCGTAACTTCACTTGTTTCCCAAGTAACCGCGTGCGCCTCGTTTCACCCCTAGTCGCACACGCAACCGAACCGAATTCGGTGAACACTCCGCAAGTCCGAATCCCGAACTTTCTCGAACGCGCCTTGGTCTCGAAGCACATTTTTTCCCTCGTCAATCTCATTCTCGATGCTTCTCCTTCTCTCTCCCTCCTTCTAGCACATTTCTTCTCGATTTCTCTCCCGCTTCTCACGCCGTAGCCTCTATTCCCCGATTTCCACCGTTTCACACACGCGCTTCCATTTCGCCGTCATTCCGCCGTCGTAGATGCTTTCGCCTTAGGTTCCGTGGTTGGGCGAACCAGCCCTAACAAAAAGACAAGCAACATGAAGCCCCAATTCAGCAGACGAAGATTCATTGTTTTCTAGGCTCCCCGGAAAAGCTTTTGATAGCAAGAACCACTTTCACATGCTCCCCTGAACCTAGAACAGGCAAAACGACAAAATTCCATAGCTGTGGACGGTGCTGATTCATCCCCATATTCAATGACAGTCCTCACATCTCCCAATTACCTGATGCCAATAAACTACAAACTCCCACAATCATCACCAAAAAGTGTGACTCCGAAATGTAGCTGCGTAGCTAAGCTATCCAGGGGTTCTCTTTCAGGTCCCTAATATATCCAAAAAGATTCTCTCGCAAATTTTAAGACTACGGAACCTGTCCGTAATGTATCCAGAATGAGAGCTGAACAAAATTTGTCCAGAAAGAGTTTTCAAACAACACTTTGAGCGGAAGGTAGGCGGATCGTTACTTGCTGGGTGCGTTATTATATGTTCCCCTTAATTGTCACCTGAAACATTGTTCTCCTTGAAACCCTCAGAACTTTCCCTTTTCCAACTCTTTTGCACATACCTGATTCACTACATTTGCCCTGGTGGCCAATTGGTTACAGGTCTCAGCTTTCGAGCAGCCTACTTCTCATCGTTTCGCGGAATATGCGTCACAACCAGGCTGCCTTCACACGCAGGGAACCGGGTCCGCAGCTTGCGAAGTGGTTGCACCAAACCTCAAAGACTGCTCATTTCTTGATACTGCACATTTATGCGCTTATGGAGTTGGTTCAGCCTTAAGCACAACTTTCGCTTGAAGCGACTTGAAGAACCTCTCTCCCCATCGCAACACTGCCCGCAGCTTCGATAACACCCGGAGAATCAAGCTTCGCTTCAACAGACCGAAACTGGTCCTCCATTGCCTCAAGAGGCCTCACAAATCCCTCATCTCTCCCTCTCATCCCCTCTTATCTCTCTCTCTCCCCTGTAACTCCATTCCCAGTCAGAATAAAAGATGGCTGGTCGCTGCACCAGTGGAGTCTCCTTGGCTACGAGAGGCCCCAAGCACCCCTTCTCATCCACAACAAATTCCCCTGATGCTGCCGACGTCAGTGGTTCTTTCTCACCACCCTTTCTCTCCTCATGTCCCTCCCTCTCCGCCAATCCCAGCCAGAGCAACTTGCACTATTCCCGGCGATGGCGAGTGGTTCTTCTTTGCAGCCCGCGACCTCAAGTACCCATCGGGGTCCCGATCCAACCGTGCCACAGCTGCTGGGTACTGGAAGGCCACTGGGAAGGACAGGCCAGTGCACGTGCAGTTTGCAGGCAACGAAGGAACAGAGGACCAGACAATCAGAGTGGGATTTAAAAAGACTCATGTCTTCTATATGTGAGTATCTTGTTCAGGTCTTTGGATTGTTTGGCCATATGAAGTTGCTGTTCCATCGCGTGTCTTGCCTGAGCTTCATTTTCTTCTTTTAGGCTGGTTTGTTCCAAACTTGGATTGGTTATATTCAAATTTAGATTTTGTGAGCGTGTTCTATACGGTTCGGTTGGGCTGTTCTTCAGTTTGTTTGTGTGTGTGTGTGTGTGTGTGTGTGTGTGTGTGTGTGTGTGTGTGTGTGTGTGTGTGTGTGTGTGTGTGTGTGTGTGCGCGCGTGCGCGCGCGTGCGTGCGTGCGTGCGTGCGTGTGTGTGTGCGTGGGTGTGTGTGTGTATGTGTGCACGCGCGTGCGTGCGTGCGTGCGTGCGTGTGTGTGTGTGTGGGTGTGTGTGTGTGTGTGTGCGCGCGCGCGCGCGTTCGCGCGCACGTGCGTGTGGAATGAGGAAATGCTTGTTGAAAATGCCTTCCATTTAAATTATTTTTCTTCTTTAACTTCTTCTGTGTTGTGGCAACACGGGGCGAGCGCCAGGAGGCGACAATACAGACTGGGTCATGCACGAGTACCGCTGACAGAGGACTCGCCTGTAGCTGTACCTGCTGCTACTGACGAGGCACATGCTACAGTCGCAGAAGTCGAATTAAACCCAGGATTAGCTGCAGGCCCAGCTTCTGCCCATGAAAGCATTGCAGAACGTGTAAATACAGTAGGTGGTATCCGAGGCAGTACTTTCACTGGCTGGAACAGCAGCAGAGAAGATGAAACGTCCAACCCAGACACCCAAGGTCCAGGAGCTGGGGGTGGTGCAGGTGGTGCTGCTGCTAATGTAGGTGGTTCGGGTGCTGAGGGTGGTGCAGGTGGCTCTGCTGATGGTGGGCTAGCCATTTGCAACAACAGCAGCAGCAGCCCCAAAGCCAGCAGTCCGGAGCGACAAACTGGCGGTGCGCAAAAAATTAACGTGGCGTCGTGGGTGGTTGTGCGGGTTCTCAAGCGAAGTTCCCTGACAGCTGAGGAGCAAGCGATGATGCCACTGCAGCGGATGGTGGCACAGCAAATGATGGTAGCGCAACAAGCAATGCATGCGCATCAAGCAATGATAATGCAGCAGCAGGGTGGGATGGTTGCTTTCCAGGCTGTGAATCCGTGGCTCTCGACGCAGCAGCAAGGGAGCAAAGAAGAGCATAAACCAGGCTATGCTGGTGGGGCTAGGAGAAGCACATTTGGTGCTACTGGTAGTGAAGGCGGAGTGAGGAGCACAACTGGTGCTGGTGATGAAGTTGGAGCTTATGGGAGCGCAGGTAGAGCTAGTGGGAGCGCAGGTAGAGCAAGCAGTTCAGGAAATGAGTCAACGCAGGAGCCAGTGGAGGAGGAAGAAGCCCAAATAGTTCCGGAAGTAGCAGGAGCAGGAGCAGAAGTGGGGGCACCAGTAGGAGCAATGGCGCATGCAGTAATGGATGTAGCAGGAGCAGGGGCAGAACTGGGAGCAACAGCAGGAGCAGCATTGATAGCAGCTGCAGTGCAGCAGGGGTTGTCTTTCCAAAAACAGCAAAGCAGTAGCGCAGCAGTGCAGCAAGGGTCTTTGTTCCAGCAGCAGCAAAGCAGCACCCCAGCAGGCCAACAAGGGTCATCACAAGCAGTCTGTTGCAAGCAGCAGGAGCAACTGACGGTATTGCCTTCACCAGTTGCCACCGCTCCAAAAAACAGCCACTTCCCTGCTTCACCTCCCCCTCCCCCTCACCCACACCCGCACCCACACCCAAACTCGCAATCTCAACAACACCCACTTCCAGCTTCCCTCTCTGCCTCTCACAGAATCACAGATTCACCGAGCTGGTTACAGGGTTATATCTCAGCAAAGCCACGGTCACATCAACAAAGCAGTTACCAGCAGGTGATTGCAGGCCCTTCTTCCCCTTCATCTGCCCCTCTGCACCCGCTCCGTCCTTCCTCTTCTCCTTCAATCTCTGCATCCTGGTCAGGTGCCCCTCAGCCTAGTAAAATGCACACCCCAGCCATCCTTCCGGCGTTCACTGCTGCTAATCATGCTGCTGCAGCTGCTGATACGGCCGCTGCTGCTGCTGCTGTCGCTGGTGCTGCCGCTACTGCTACTCCTGCCGTGGCCTTTGCTGCTGCTCGTAGTAGTATTATCCCAGTTGGTGCAGCTGGGTCAGCTGGGCTATGTGACAGAGCAGCAGGTGAAGCAATCGGTTATCAAGATATGCAGCAACTGGCTGATCTCCTCAAATCTCTTCTAGGGAATCAGATCGACACCAGTGCACTTGCTGCAATCACAGCCTTTCCCACTGCTTCTCCACTTGCTGCTTACAGCAGTTCTGATACAGCTCCTGCCCCTCCAACTCCTCCTCCTGATGTTGCTGCTGCTATTCCAGTTGCAGGCTGTTTCCGACCCTTTGGAGGCAATGTTTCAGTACCCTCATACTTCGCTGCACCACCCTCGACATCAGTCCAGCAGGGGAAAAGGCACAAGGCACAGCACGCAGTAACATTAGGCCACCAACAGCAGCAGCAGCAGCAGCAGCAGCAGCAGCAGCATGGCCAGTACCAGCAGCATCAGATGCTTCAGCAGCACCTGCCTCAGCGGCAAGGAATCTGTCACACCCGTCCTCTACCACTTCAGGCTCCCCTTCAAGGCGCCAACCAGTATGAAACGCCCTCTCATGCCTCCTACACCCAGTTGTTGCAAGGGGCGTTGGAGGGACAACGGCGAGCAAGGGAGGTTAGACGTGAGTAGCTCGGGTGACAGTCTGCTGCATTCCAGTGTGTGGGACAGAGGTGCGGCAGAGGTTTCTGGAGGAAGGATGGATGGAGAGAGGAAAGGAGGAGGAGAAAATGGCGGGGTCGGTGGTTTTGGAGGCGATTTTTCGGCTCACCAGCACGTATGGAGGAGCACGGGGTTCTGGGATGGTGCACAGAGAAGCTGTCTTGCCGGGACGGGTGGGAGTTGCAACAGCAGGAGTGGCAGCAGCAGGGGTGGCAGCAGCAAGGGTGGCAGCAGCTTCTGTGAGAGCTGGATTAACCAGGGAACAATCAACTGAGGAAGATTTAACTGGGGAAGAATTAACTGGGGAAGAATCAACTGGGGAAGAATTAACTTGGGAAGAATCAACTGGGGAAGAATTAAGTGGGGAAGAATCGACTGGGGAAGAATTAAGTGGGGAAAAATCAACTGGGGAAGAATTAACAGGGGAAGAATCAACTGGGGAAGAATTAACTGGTGCAGGTGTTATGGCAGTAGGGGGTGGGGTTTCAGTGGCAGGGTAACTGCAGCAGCGATTGGAGGAGGGGACCTGCTGACATCGCTAGATGGGTTGGAGCTAGCAGATTTAGAGGCGCTTCTACTGAATGTGGAGGGAGAGTTGGAATTTATCAGCAGCAGCATGGTCAGCGAGTTCAGCCAGCCTCACAGCCAGCCTCCTAGTAGCAGCACTGTCTGCACCATTGAGCCCATTAGCAGTGGCATGGCCATCAGCCAGCCGCCTGAGGGACTGGCACCATCCGTGGCAATGGGATCATCTTTATTTACGCCCATGCATGGTGGGTCTGAAGGCTCGTTTGCATCAGAGGAGGGGTTTGCTGCGGTCATGGCTGCTTGTCACACTGCCAGTGCCACTGGTAGCAGCGACCGCATGTGTTTCTAAGAGGCAAGGTGCTCTGTTGCTGCCAACAAACAATTCTCCCGGCTCTGGGAAGTGTGTCACTGGATCGGACACAGGCAGATGGAGCAGCAGAAGCAGGAGATAAATCAGTGGTATCAGCAGCAGGAGAGGCAAGGGCTGCAACTGCAGGCAGGATTGTTGATGTATCTGGGGATTCACAAATGGGGAATCTGGGATTGAGCAGTAGTAAGGGCACTGGAAGGAAGCTCTCTCCCAAAAGGAGTCGTGAAGAGGGCGGCTGATGCTTGCCAAGAGGAAATATTTTGTAGGAGCCTTTGTATCTCTTGGGGCTGTTAGTGTACATAGAGTGTGTCAGATTTATATGACATAGCTACTGTAGGCTATAGTGGGGTAGCACATATGAGGTACAGTTTCTAGGGTTTGCTTTTGTACCCAACTTTCCCTTAGTCAATTCATTTTCCTCATTTCTTCACATGGTATAGAGCAGGTTCCCTAGTGGGAACGCTTCCTTGGGCCCACCACTGAAACCTTTTTTTTCTAACCGGAGCGACAGTCGCTCCTGCCCGAGGCGCGCCTTGTGGGCCGCCCTTCTGTCGAGCTCTCTTAGAGGCCCCTCTCACGGCCCCTCGCGCCACCCTTAGCGGCCCCGTCGCCGCCCCTAGCGGCCCCGTTGCCGCCCTTCCAGGCCCCTTGCGGCCCCTAGCGGCCCCATTGCCGCCCCTACGTGGCCCCGTAGCCGTCCCTACGCGGCCCTGTCGCCGCCCCTACGCGGCCCCGTCGCCGCCCCTAGCGGCCCCGTCGCCGCCTCCCTCCCTACGCGGCCCCGTCGCCGCCCCTACGCGGCCTCGTAGCCGCCCCTACGCGGCCCCGTCGCCGCCCCTAGCGGCCCCGTCGCCGCTTCCCTCCCTACGCGGCCCCGTCGCCGCCCCTACGCGGCCTCGTAGCCTCCCCTACGCGGCCCCGTCGCCGCCCCTAGCGGCCCCGTCGCCGCTCCCCGCCCCTAGCGGCCCCGTCGCTGCCCCTACCCGGCCCCGTCGCCGCCCCTAGCGAGCAGCCGAGCCGCCGAGCCGCCCAGCAGCTGAGCCGCCGAGTCGCCCAGCAGCCGAGCCGCCCCTGGAGCAGCCGCCACTGCAGCAGCCGCCCCTGGAGCAGCCGCCACTGCAGCAGCCGCCCCTGGAGCAGCCGCCACTGCAAGCAGCCGCCCCTGGAGCAGCCGCCACTGCAGCAGCCGCCCCCGGAGCAGCCGCCTACTGCAGCAGCCGCCCCTGGATCAGCCGCCTCTGGAGCAGTCGCCCCTACAACTGCCGCCCCTGGAGCAGCCACCCCTGCAGCTGCCGCGAAGCTCTCGCTCTACAGTGGTAGCGGCCTCGCCGTTGCCGCCGTCGTACGCCTGCCCTTCTCGCCACTGGTGAGCACTGCCCTGCCCGTACTGCTGTTACTGCTGCTCTTACTGCTGCTGCTCTTTCTACTGCTACTGCTGCTCCTGGCGTGGCCAGATGCAGCTCCAGCGTCGCCCGCGAATACCACAAGGCTGAAGAACGACCAGGTGAAGAACGACCTGTACATTGGACATCTGAGAGAGAAGATGATATATATTCGGATGGGCGAGGAGGAGTCAGCGACGGACTACTGCAAACCGTGCTTGACGGATCCTTTGCTGAGATGCAGATGACGGGCGCTGAATACTCTAACGGTGTCCTACATCACCCATGTTCTCAAGGGCCTACCGCGCAGCTACAACCTCATGAAGAGGATGACGATGGTGCCCGGCACCCGTGAGTCCCTCGACGAGGACTCCCTCACCAGCTACATCCTCCAAGATGAGGCGATGCAAGAGGCAGAACACCCCACGGAGCTCCTTTCGCAGGCAAGTTACGCTGCACCGACGAAGCAAAATTGTCAGCAGGAGCAGCGCGGGAAGCTGGGCGGAGGTGGTAGCAGGGGTGGGCGGTCAACGAAGGACGTCGACGAGAAGAGATCGACGCGGGACAAGGGGCCGTAGAGGTGGTCGACGGCGGGAGTGCTAGATCTGCCACGACCCCGACCATCTTTCCTACGAATGCCCCGAACGCGACGACAGCGACGAGGACGACAAGAAGGGAGGCCGTGGTCGATCGGCCAGTCGTCGCCCTTGTCGAGATGCAAAGCCCCGCAAGGAGAAGCAGACGTCGAAGACGACATCGTCGACGAAGGACGGCGACAACTGCAGCAGCAAGGGCCGAGACGACGGGGAGGCGTCATGCTCGATGGTCGGCTTGGTGGAGTCGACAGCCTCGCTAGCACCGGAGGCTGGCGAGGACTTCCAGGCGGTGGCGGCAGCTGTGCAAGCCAACCCGATGGCAGTACTGCTTGACAGTGGTTGCTCCCACCACCTGATGGGGACGAAGGCGGTCTGTGTCGACATGGCGCCGAGCGACAGTGTGAAGCACGTGTGCGGCTTCAATGGGGCGTTGCAGCTTGTCAAGTATCGTGGAATCGTCGCTCTGCAAGGGGAGGCAGGGAAGCGGGTCCTTATCCCCGACATGCTCTACGTTCCTGGAGTACATGCGAACATGTTGTCAGCTGGCCAACTTAAGGAGAGCGGAGTGCAGCTGCAGGGCGATGGAGACGAGATGCTGCTCGTCGCCGCGACCGGGGAGGTGCTCGGTCGAGCCCGCTACAACGGACGAGTCCTCTGCACCGACCTTCGCCCCTGCTCGACGCGGTCCCAGTCGACCGAGGTGGTGGCTCTGCGGACGATTGTCTCGGCGACGAAGTCGACCCCTGACCGGTTGCACTCGAGGCTCGCGCACATCAGCATCGACACGATCAAGATCTCGGCGAGGCATGAAGTTGCTACTGGGCTCGACACCAAGCCGTCAACCATAGTAGACCCGCCGTGTGTCTCGTGCGTCGGAGGAAAGCTGGCGCATCACACCTTCCCCGACAAGGGCTCGGACGTCGAGGAGGCACTAGCTGTCGTGCAAATTGACTTGTGCGGGCCATTTCAGGTAGCTGCCAAGGATGGCAGCTTGTACTTCCTGCTGCTGAAGGATTTTCACACTCGGTTTGTGTGGGTGATGCTGGTCGCTAAGAAGAGCGACGTGCTGCGGGAGTTCCAGAAGTGGCTGGTGCTAGTGGAACGGTAGGAGAAGAAGTCGGTGCTGATGCTTCACTCAGACCGGGGAGGGGAGTTTCTTGGGAAGGATTTTCACCGACTTCGTCGACGGAAGGGCATCATCCACGACTTAACATGCCCTTACACTCCAAAGCAGAACAGCTTTGTGGGAGATGCGCACAGCCGTCGATTCCGCGCGGACAATGGTGTTGCACATGGGCGTGCAGCACCACTAGTGGCACCTCGCTCTACGACAAGCTATCTGGGTGTGCAACTGCTTGGAGCGGTTGATGATGCTGCCGGGGACGACGCCATATCAGCTGCTGACCGGGGGAAGAAGCCCGATCTCATGTTGGCACGGGTGTGGGGCTACATGGTGCAGTTCATGGTCCCTAAGCAATAGCGCGGTGGGAAGCTGGCGCCGAAGGCTCACTGGGGGCTTCACCTGGGCGTGTCGCCGGAGAGTAAGGGCTGGGAGGGGCTCGACCTGACCGACAACAAGGCGCACAACGAGGTTCTACGAGACACTGTCGCTGGAGGTGTGGAAGGCGAAGTATGGGCCGGCGTCGGGGTGGACGAAGGCAAACCCGCCGACGGACACATCGACGGCGACGGTCCCACTACTCGTCGAGGTCAACGAGTCTGCTGATGAGGATGTCATGGAGGTTCTTCCTCTTTGCAGATCGGCCTGCGCCGACACCTGTGTCGGCCACCAGCGATGAGGGGAGCCTTGAGGCGTCGCCTGTAGCGCCAGCCAGTGGCATCGCCGGCGGCCGACAAGGCGCCAAGCTCCTCGACAAGGAGGTGTAGCCTTCGAAGACGGGGGAGCAGCAGACGGGGGAGCCAGTCAAACAGGAGGCAGCAACAGGGGTGCAGTCGACAAGGGAGCAGCAGACGGGGTAGTCGACAGGGGAGCTGTCAAAGTTTGTAGGAGGGGAGCCGCCGGTCGAAGGGTCGAAGTAGCCCGTCAATGACGAGGACGTCGATGACGAGGGGGAGCAGTCGGCGAGAGAAGAGTCCACCGACAGCGATGTGGTTGAAGTTCTGGTCAAGTAGCCTAAGTTGCGACACACACGTCGAGCTCGAAAGCCACTGGAGCGGCTGGTCTTCCATGCTTGCCTGCCACCAGCTGCCTTCACCACGGTGTAGCGACAGCGCTCAGGATGACCTGCTGTATGACGACGCTGAAGATGACGTTGACCTGCCGGAGCTCGACCCCGACGTACATGCTGACCCTGAAAATCGCTGGGACATCGTCACGATGACAGTGATGGAGGCGCTGGCGAGCTGGAAGGGCGAGGCGGTGAAGGCCGCCATGGAAGAAGAGATCCGCAGGCCTCATCGGCATGGGCACCTGGGAGCTGGTCGAACGCCTACGTGGGGTGAACATCATGAAGAACCGGTGGGTGCTGACGACCAAGTACCGCATCGACGACACCGTCGAGTGCGAGAACGCAAGGCTGGTCGTGAAGGGCTTCACGCAGGTGTACGGCACTGACTACGACGAGACGTACTCGCCGGTGAACAGCTACGTCACGCTGAGGATCTTCCTGAGCATCGTTGTCGTCCTCGACCTCAACCTGATGCAGTTCGACATGAAAAACTCTTTCCTGCAGAGCAAGCTCGACCGGGTGCTGTACATGTACCAGCCGGACTACTTCGACGATGGGACCGGCCGGGTGTGCAAGCTGCTGAAGAGCCTCTACGAGCTGAAGCACTCGCCGCTGCTGTGGTACAGGGCTGTTGACAGCCTGCTGCTGGACGTTGGCTGGAAGAAGAGCCACGTCAACACAGCACTCTACTTCAAGGTCGGCGACGACGGAGTGTCCTGCTGGATGCTGGTCTACGTCAACGACCTGGTTGCCACCAGCAGCAGCACCGCGATGCCGAAGGAGCTGCTGGAGGCCGCCTTCGAGCTGCGCGA